TGTTTTTTCCGCCAGAAGCTGTTAAAACATTAATACACGGATAATTTTACGGATATTGTTTCCTTTGTTGTGGGTAAAATATATTTTCTTTTGGTTTTGTCGAAGCGTTCGATTCAAAGGGAATAATAAATACGCTAAGAAAAGGTATTACGTCAGCCATGCAATGCGTTGACGTTGCAGCTTTCACTTTCGCTACGTGACTAATGAGATCGTGTTTACTTTGGAAGTTTATTTCGCCAGAAGAGACGGTCATTAATTTATTTGCAAGTTTGCGAGTATTTCTTGTGGTTTTAGGCAAATGAAGTAAATTCTTTGGCTCTTTCCTCGCAACGAGTTCATAGATCGGAAGGGAAATGAAATATTTGCAATCCAAGCAAAGAACATGTCAGGACAATGCAATGATTACGTCATTGTTAGTGAAATAACCACCGTACTAAAGATAGCCGTGGATAACGCAATTCTTTAATTATGCGACTCGTGTGACTTTTTTGCTAGCCCTTTACTCAAGGAAAAAATTAAATTTAAACTTGAGTTTTAAGAAAGAAAGCTGTTGTTAATAGTGTTCGTATCTTCATACCCATACATATCCCGAAGAAAGATCCATATTAACAATATTACGTCATCGGAGATTTCACAACGGCTACGACTGATGGTGCAATAATACAGTCTGTGTTGATCAAGTGATGTGATGTCTACAGTAATCAATGAATCATCAAGGATTACTTTCGAATGTGCTCTGCGTTGCGACTGTAGTGCTAAGAAAACAGTTAAATTTTAAAAGCGCGGTTTTAAGATCTAACAGATCTTCTTGGTTTTTTTTTCTCGGTGACCAGACGCAGACCTCCGCTCGGCCAAATTTTGAGTCACGCAACGTGTGATGTTTTTGCGCCAAAAGGTGTTAAAACATAAATACACGGACAATTTTACGGATATTGTTTTCTTTTTTGTGGAAAAAATATATTTTCTNAAAATGTTTCAAATAACAAGTGGATTCATTTTAGTGAAAAAAAATTTTGGGGGTTAGGTGCACTTTAAATATTTACTCATTTGTATTTTGACTCGCCCTACGGGCTTGTCAAAATATGTTGTTTTCTTTATTGTGCGTAAAATATATTTTCTTTTGGTTTTATCGAAGCGTTGGATTCAAAGGGAATAATAAATGGGCTAAAAAAAGGTATTACGTCGGCCATGGAATGCGCCTATGTTGCATCTTTCACTTTTGCTACATGACAAATAAGATCGTGTTTACTTTGCAAGTTTATTTCCCATGGATAACGTAATTCTTGAATTATGTGACTCATGTGACTTCTTTGCTAGCCCTTTACTCAAGGAAAAAAACAATTAAATTTAATCATGACTTTTAAGAAAGAAAGCTGTTGTTAATAGTGTTCGTATCTTCATGCCCATACATATCCCAAAGAAAGTTCCAGATTAAGACTAATACGTCATGGGAGATTTCACAATAGCTACGACTGATGGTGCAATAATACAGTTTGTGTTGATCAAGTGATGTGGTGTCTACAGTAATCAATTTATCATCAAGGACTACTTTGGAATGTGCACTGCATTGCGACTGTAGAGCTAAGAAAACAGTTAAATTAATTTTTGAAAGCGTGGTTATAAGATCTAAAAGATCTTCTTGTTTTCCATACATTTGCATGTAAAGACGGATGTCTAGACACGGTTTGTGGGAAAAACATTACAGACAAATGTATGGAAAATGAGAAAAACTAACTGAGAGTCTTCTAGCCAAGCTATATCCTTCAAACTTTCATGCTTGCAGTCCTGGCATAACCACAGGTGGCCCAGATGTTGAATAGTATTAATACATGACATTAGTCTGTTGGCAATTGTGCTACAATTTTAGTGACTTTTAAGACAATGTATGAGAATGCTTCGCAAATTGTAAAACTGAAATATTGAAAAAAATATTGAAAGTAAAACTTGCCAAGTGGCTCAAAACCTCCGAAACAAACATACACTTAGCATTTAGGGCAATTTTCAAAGCATTCTCTTACATTGCCTTATAAATGGCTAAATCGCCAACAGTTTAATGTCGCGTATTAATAGTATTCAACTTCTGGGTGACCTGTGGCATAACCAATCAAACTAACTCTAACCATCAATTAATAATCAAGTTTATCAAACCCAGTTGCCTGATTGGGTTAATTCATATTGGGTAATTCATATGGGTAATTGTGTTTTTGAAAGTTGGAGAAATGGCCCTCATTGCTGCGCAATTGGGCAAGTCTTAATGTTATGAAGAATTATGGGATTACTTGTTTATAACATAGAGGGAAATATTTATGTCACTGGAAAGTCAAAATTGTGTGCTGTTGCATAATTTCATAGGACAGGGGTGTAGCTAGGGGGGTCCTGGGGTGCCCTTGACCTCCCTTTTGTAAGCCTTTCGTAAGCAAACAACCTACAACAGGTGGTAAAAATTACATGTTAAAGTGGTGAGTACCCCCCTCTTTGAAAAATCCTGGCTATGCCCCTGAAACCATTTCGATACAGGTTTTTAGCCAGATGGATGTCCAGGCATCCTGTGGATGCCCACTTTTTAAAGAAAATTGTTTTTATTTTAATGACATGTTGCATTTTAAATGGTTTATTTGAGCAAACCCTATAGCACATTTTGGATGCTCGCCATTCAAATCTTGGTTTAAAGTCAGTTTCAGTGTTCAGTTAGTGTCAATGAACTGAAATTTATGAATAGAATTTATTGGTAAATTTATAGTTTATAATCATATAGTGTTTAAACCATTCCACTGAATAGTTCAACATTAAGTAATTATAACTTACTCTAACACCTTTGGTTATGAATAATGTAATACATGTAGCACTTGTTGATATATTTTTGTTCCCTGTGTACAGTGACCAGTCTACCCGTCATCACTTGAAGAATGTGTATGCTTGCTTGTCAGCCTCTATGCTGGCTGCAGGACTGGGAAGTGGAGTCCATCTTTTTACTGATATATTGAAGGTATGAACTGTTCTTCAAGAGTCTACATAACAAGAAAGAAGACAGTGTTTAGAACTATTTATATACTAAATAAGAAGTAACATTTTGTTGTCAGCATTTTTAAAGTAAGCCAGCACCCAACACAAGTCACTGGCTACTTCAAGCATTTTTGCAGGATACTTTTTGTTATAAATTACAGCGGTTATCAATCGCACGTGACCTTCAGCGCAAAAGCATCTAGACAAAACCTAAGTTTTGGGGGACGTCAATCATCTCCACCTCCTCACCAACTGTATCCAAAATTTACAACAAAGGCTTAAAGCTTGCAGCGGTCCACTCGTAAAAATTTTCATTTTAGTTTCAGTATGCTTGGCTAGCTCACTAAACACACTGGCATTAAATATTCCTTGATATTTATAAATGAAGATGGGTGGGTTGGGTTTCTCAACAGCCATTCGCATGCATGAATGACCCCAAGATCAAGCAAATCTACACACGAACAAATTATTTCTGCACGTATTTGTTATGGGGCTACGAACTGAACAAGACTTAAATTTCTTTTAATCCTTACAATTTTGTAAGGTAATGAGTTTTAAGTTTTATAGGTTTAGTGTTGTTCAGTCTGTAGCCCCAAGAGAAATACGTGCAGAAATAATTTGTTCGCTCGTGTGCAGTTTGCTTGATCTCGGGGTCATTCATGCATGCAAACAGCTGTTGAAAAATCCGACAAATGTCTTCATTTATAGATTTCAAGGAATATTTATTGCCAATATATTTACTGAGCTAGCGGTAGATGCTGAAAGCAAAAATTTTACTTTAAATAATTTTTACGAGTGGACAGCTGCAAGGTTTCAGTCTTTTTTTTCAGGTAAATCGTCAAGGAGGTGGAGATGATTGACGTCCACCAAAACTTAGGTTTTGTAAAGACGTTTTTGTACTGAAGGTGGCATGTAATTGTTAATCGCTGTAATACGCAGTTTTGTTTCACCAGTGTAATCATGATCTGATCTTTCTGAGGAAATGAATGAACAGGTGAAAAAGTAAACAGTGTGGCTATTATATTTACCTTTCAAACTTCAAAGTAAGAGCTAATTTTGGTGGGCAGTCTGCTGTCATTCAAACTGCAACATGCAGACTATGCTGTCCTTTATTGCCACTGTTGAGAGGTCAGAAAGGCAAATAGCTAAATAAATATTATGGGCTGTTCCAGTTTTGAACGCAACGATAAAACAATCAGCTTGTAATATTATTATACAGAATTGACCAAAAATTGACCTAATCTACACATCCACATGCTTCTTCATCTTGAAATGTTACTCATTGAGGTCAAAAGTGCTCCAAATGTATTGAATGAATGAATGAATACCTTTATTTAAGTGTCAAACTAAAATAGCAGTAAATAACCACTAAATGGGGACACTATAATTAAATTAAAATCAATAAAACTATTTACAATTGATAAAATGAGTATGAAATTAATGAGATTATTTACATCTGCACGATTGTTGAGTGTGGCTTAGAACTATTTACAAAGTCATATAGACTTAATAAAATACTAAAGTGTCTATCATGTACGACATAAAATACAGTCAGAACAATGAGCATTAGCCAGTAAGGAATTTAAATCAAACTTTCTAATATGCTGCCTAAATACAGATAATGCAGGAAGGTTTCTTATATTTTTGGGTAATAGACTCCATAACTTTGGGCCAATGTATCTGATGGAATGCTTGCCATATGTAGTCATGTTAAATCTTGGCATGGGGAACTNTTTTTTACCTGCAATGAGTTGAGTAACCAGTTTGATAAATCATGGGATTGCCTGGTGTTTGCTCTACTGAGATGTGCACAAGTTTACGTCTCAACTCTAATACCGGGATGTAGCTAAGAAAAATAACTGAGCTAGATCATTATTACTTTTCCAGCATTTTCACCTTAAAAGCTACCCCAAGGCCTTGTTTTCAAGTGAAATGTAGGCCCTCTTTCAGCCAGTGAAATTAGGTGGAAACCAGCTCTTAGCTATATCACTGAATTCTAAAATGGTAATAATAACATCTGAAAATGTTACGCCAAATGGATCTTTTTGGCTTTGCATATCTCAGACAAGCACAGCTTGAGCATGTGTGGCTAGTGAAAACCAAGCTTTACGTTGTTTTGTTGTTTCTAGAAACCCATGAGCTTGAATACAAACCACAGTCCTTATTTTTGCTCAGCTTAGTTGTTGTGGGTGCTCACTGTGTCCTTGTTTAGAGTGTGCGAAAAAATCCTAATTGTATAAAATTTGCAAGAATTACTTACTAACAAAAAATGTGCAGACAATTTATAAACATCAATTTTATTGACTTTGTTACTTGTTAGTAAGAATTACTTACTAACAAAAAATGTGCAGACAATTTATAAACATTAATTTTATTGACTTTGTTACTCATTAGTAAGAATTACTTACTAACAAAAAATGTGCAGACAATTTATAAACATTAATTTTATTGACTTTGTTACTTGTTAAAGGGTGGATTTTTGTCAGCCATTGTCTCCATTGGCTTTTTCATTGCACTGGCCATGACTCGCCATGATGGAAAGAACCAGGCTAAGAGAATGGGTAAGTGTAAAAAACCCATGAACTACTTAGGTGTCTCTCTTGTTCACAAATCTAAACCTTTTCTTTTCTTTTTCAGGTATCCTTATGGGATTTGCATTTTTCACAGGTGAGTATTTTTAAGAAATAAAGCCATATGCTAGTATAATGTGGTAAAACACAGCAGACAGATACATGTAGATAGAAACCTTGATAATCAAAAAGAAATGGTCTATACCAAGGTCAATGTAACTTAGTAACCAGGCCTTACTTGGAAGGATGAAAAACTAGTTTCCAGGCTGCTCATCAAAAAATGAATGGAACCCCTGGAGGTTAAAAATTCATCATGAACGAAATGGGGTGTTTTCAATGCTGTTTTAGGAGAAAAACTACTTCAAAATAATCAATCTTTGCTTGTGGGGATGTTAAGCAGCTGCTTTATCGCTAACATGAAACACTTTCTCTGTTTTGTGTGGAAAAAAAGCTCTCATTATGTGGAGGATGTTAGTGAATTATGCAGATCCACACCACCGCATCCTTTCAGGTGCCCACCCTGGTGTTTTGCATTATCCTTTGGAAATTGTTACATGAAAATGTATAGCTAGGAAAAACCTAGCCTTAATGAGTGGTTTTTATTGATACAATAGAGGGAATCTCAATTGAGTGTCGTAAAACCAAAACCAAACCAATTACTTACCAGTTAGATTACTCAGCCAATCTCAAGCCATAGTAAAACCAAAACCAAAGTAATTGCCTGATTACTTCTGATACTCAACTGAAAACCGCTCTTGGTCGAAAACTTAAGTTTGTTACGTTATTATTTCAGGGTTGGGTCTTGGCCCTATCATGGATGTTGTGATACAAATTGATGCAAGGTAAGCAATCTCTGTACTTTTTAAGGGATAAAATGTAAAAAGGATGAATAAAGTCAGCTGTTCACATGAAGTAACCATAAGTATACGCTAGGTTCTGAAATAAAGAGTAGATGTAGGGAATATATTTTTGTAATATCCACTTGCAATCTGCAGGTACAGAGATTCTTTTCTCTTACTGCCCTGTGAAAGATGAGAGGGAATCTCTGCTCACAACTGCTCGATTTCCTATCATGCATGCATGAATTACCTTGGTCAGCATGTTGCATGTGTTGTGCTTTGTCGTGCGATGTGTTTACATGCAATCAGGGGTTTCATTGAGAGCTGGGCACTGGGCAAATTGACTAGCTGTGAACAGAACTTTGTCCAGCTGCTTCATTGATAATTGATATAGTACTGTTGCTGTCCCTTGCTAGTTCCCTGAGAAGAGAGAAGAGAAATTTGTCTTTCAAAGTGGCCATTTAACCTTCTGTGTACTACAGTATTGTGCAAAAGTAATGCAAACGAATTTCGACAAAATTCCTGCTTTTTGGGGCTTTTCGAAGAAATTTCGCTTGAAATGATATTTCCATGAAATTTTCCCGCATTTTTGTGACACCTATTGTTTTGATCCGCACGATTTTTTGAACGCTAATTTGCTTTGTGTGATGATTCACCGCGAATTTTCAAGTGATCATTTGCTCCTTGCGAAAAGTCGCTATGATTTTGTGAACGGTAATGCGCTCGTCCCGAAAATTTGATCTATTGTTTATCAATAGGCCAAGAGTGTTTTCAAAACACAGTTCGCTAAGTGAAATATACAAATGACCTTTCCANAAAATAAACAACCTGGACATCATTCTGACTTTGTACAGCAGAAGTTAGCTTCACTTTCTGAACTCATTTGGCAAAACTGTTTCACACATACAGATCTGAACTTTTAAAATGATGTTATGATGGTCGCTAGCATTCTTCATGTAGATAAAGTAGGACTTTGTGAGTTTAACTTCTTTTTTTGCCCCTTAAGGTTGTATGATTCACATCAAGATGCTTGTCACATGAAAAATAATACATCTAGCTAGTCTTTATTGGGGGTCTGGATGGGGAGTGCAAATGCCAGTTTTCAGTTAAATTTTGTCTATTTATCAGTATTTGTCAGTTAAATGTTCAGCAATTTGATAGTTGTCAGTTAATATTTTTTGCAAATTTGTCAGTTGTCAGTTAACCCCATCCAGACCCTCTTTAATTTGTATTAGCCCTGTCTCAAATTCCTGTCAAGGTGTATTTAATTGTTACTTCATGAACTTTACATTTTCTTATGGATTTCTTCCATGCATGAGCCATGGAACTTGCGTTAAATTTTAATTTGCGATGTCTGTTGAAAATGTATGGCCAGAAGCATAGTTGAGGGATATAAACAATGGAAATTGTACTGTCTTGGCCAGGGCTGTTGAGCTAAGGAAATGTAAAAATAAGTTTTTATACTATTTCATTCCCCTAAGATTTTCATCCTACTGGCCCCTCACCTTGCACATTGCACACTAGCAGTCCCCAGCCTCCCCCGCTCCATTCAAGCCAACCATCCTAAAGTGTTCAAACCCACATCTGCCACCAACTGAGCATTCTTTTGGCTTGCGTGACTGCTCTCCAAAGACTCTCTCCAACAGTTAAGAAAGCATTGAACTCCAAGTCCAGTTTCTCATTTAATATTTTGCAAGGTGTAGTAGACTTAGCTTCTGATAATTCTTGACTTGAATTGGAACACACATTTTACAAAACAAGCTCTTTTATTTTATTTAGGCACTCTGATGTCATTGTTGAGTATGCTGTGTTTCCTTTCCTTGGCCAATCTGTTTATTGGAGCACAATTCATTTTCAAGGTAACTTAATTTAGCATTGCATTTTAGAAACAGTTTTAAAAGTATTAGACCCGTAGCATTCCACCCAGTCTAGATTAATAATACAGATGTGGTTCATACTTTTTCCTTTTACCATGAAACCATGTTGTTTGTCATGATTGTGGCAAACAGTAACTGTGTCTTCAACAAATACTTTAATTTGTGATATGTTATTACTGTTGTTGTTGTATTCATCCTTTTTTTCAACCCTTGATCATTTGGAGTTAACAGCCCAGACTTATTGAGTGTTTTGATAGTTTATCTAACGTGTGTGTAGTTGCCATGGCAACGAGAATGGAAATACACAGGCCTTTAAAATTGGGTTTTGTTCAATTTCATGTAATTTAGTCGGAAGATTTGTATCATCATTTATAACAATGCTCATGAGTTAACACCATTTTTATAATAGTTTGAAATAACATTTTTAATTATCCCTTGTTGAAGGACAATTAGATTACCCACTTACTTATTTTCTAAAGTATTTTCTTGTAAATTTTGTGAACTTCTAATTTGTGGTTCTCGGGAAATTGGCTTATTTCTGAGAAAGCCATTACAGCAGTATCAATTTTTTCCTAAATATGAATTTGCTGCAGTTAAGGGGGGTCCTTCTTAACTACCAATTGGTCATGAATTAGTTGCTAAGGAAGGTTTCTAACCGTCATATTGTGAAAATCTGACCTCCTAAGGATAAGCTTTTTGTACAAGTTTGTTCTATTGAAGAGTCCTGCAAAACTTTCAAATCATGGCCACATTTGACCAGTCACCTGACCAGAATAGAAAAAACCCTAAAACTTAGGAGACTGGCAACAGTTTCCAGCACTTTTCTAACAGCTATACTTTGAATGTTGGAAACTACCACTGTTTAACAAGTGATGTTGCAATAATGGTATCACACAAATGCCCAATCATTTGTAAACAAGTTTCTGTCATCTTTTTTATATAACAGGTTACCATAGCAACAATACAACCTGTTAAACACACCCTTAACTTTAATTTTAAGCGCTCACAACTCAAAAACAAGCTCGGCGACCCCCATTTTGTGTTATCGAATTATGATAAGCATGATAAGATGCGACGTTTTAAAGAGTTTGAAAAAATTATCTAGAGAGGGTTCAGAGCCACCTTACTCTTTCGAAAATTCAGGGTTGCTCTGAACCCTCTCCACAGAATTTTTGTAAACTTTGTAGAATGTTGCATCTTATCATGCTTATCACAATTCGATAATCAAAAATGGGGGTCACCGTGCTTGTTTTTGGGTTACAGAGAGGTTATATCTACAGTACGTCTTGGAAAGTGCTGGAAACTATTTTGAGCCACCTTAAAAGGCATCTAAATCCGAAAATATGAATGAGTGTAAATAGATTAAGAATGCCTACGTACTTAGTGCTTCGCATGGGTTTTATGAAACTGGAATTATAATTAACGTTGTTATGAGGTAATAAACACCCGTATTAACAGACTTTCTACAGTGGCTTTGCCTGTGTTAAAATTCTAACACGCAGTTTGGCAATAGTTTCGCTCGCGAAATCAGATTTTTTTTCAGAGCAAACGTTCCCTCATATAAAATTTACCATTTAGCACTACAAGACGCTCCGAAATAGCTTTCTTCTAAATATTGGTTTAAGCAATCCCTTAGCAACTGTTCTAAATCTGTAGTTAAGAAGGACNATATCTACAGTACGTCTTGGAAAGTGCTGGAAACTATTTTGAGCCACCTTAAAAGGCATCTAAATCCGAAAATATGAATGAGTGTAAATAGATTAAGAATGCCTACGTACTTAGTGCTTCACATGGGTTTCATGAAACTCGCATTATAATTAACGTTGTTATGAGGTAATAAACACCCGTATTAACAGACTTTCTACAGTGGCTTCGCCCAGGTTTAAAATTCTAACACGCAGTTTGGCAATAGTTTCGCATGCGAAATCAGATTTTTTCAGAGCAAACGTTTCCTCATATAAAATGCACCATTTAGCACTGCAAAACGCTCCGAAATAGCTTTCTTCTAAATATTGCCTTAAGCAATCCCTTAGCAACTGTTCTAAATCTGTAGTTAAGAAGGACCCCCTTGACTGGGCTATTTCTGTAACAAAGAAAAACCTGAAAAACTGCTGGGCCCTTTTCATCTTCACTTTTCTAACATACCTTTCTGACAAAAGACTAACATCTGCAACACACGGTGTCATTTATGAAGAAAAATAGCACAGATATCGCCCACACAGAGCAAATGAAAATAATGGCGGTATCTGCGCCATGTTTGTCTTTTGTTATCTTTGTGCTTAAGCTGAAATGCAATGTTGTTCTTACAAAAGCTTAATGGTAACTTTTTTGTCTTCAAATTGCTCAAATGTGCATAGTAGTCTTTTGGACAAGAAAAACATCAGTGATCATAAAACTGATGACATTGGTTGATTAATAAACAACAGCAATCCGGTCAAAACTGTTGACACCTGATACATTTTTTTATTCATGTTTGGCCATGCAGAAGGATAAATTTTATTTCTTGGGGTTTAAAAATGAAGATTAATCATGATAGTTTATGTGTATTGTATTAATTAGGTTGAGTTGTATGGTGGTTTGGCGTTGTTCTGTGGCTTTGTGCTCTATGACACTCAGCTGATCGTGCACAAGCACAAGCAAGGGGACAAAGACTTTGTCTGGTAAGATAACTTGCCTAACACATCATCCCTCATTTCCTATGTTTCGATCTTCTTTGTTTGCTGACGCATGTTGTGCATATCAGGTAATATGATTTCTCTGTTTAAAGGCACTCGGTGGATTTGTTTTTGGACTTCATTGAGATTTTCCGCAGGCTAATGATAATCCTTGCTCAAAACAAGGTGAGTGTTTATTTCTGTGACTCTTGTTCAAGTACCACTAATGTGATACTTTATAAACAACAACACAACAACAGCAAAACCTTAATTAAAGTGTCTGGGGTAGTTAGCATTGCTGCTAATCGGGGACACAACATAGAGGAAGTAGAAATGTGAAAATAAAGAAGTACGTATGTAGAAATTGCATAAATATTTTTAAAATGTATCGTACAAATTATTACAATGCAAGACCAACAACAATTTGGAATATTTGGAATTCTTCTAGAAATCACGTCAAGATAAATATATAATAGGTGACAGTTTTTGCAGTTGTCTTCAAGGACAAAGTTGTGTTAAATAAAATTACTGAATTGAACATACCGGCTTCAAACCTGATCAACCTTAACCCTGAAGAAACTTATGCTGAAAAGGATTTTTGAACACAAACTAAAACAGTTTTTACTTAACCATTTTTAACCTTAGTTAGTTGTAGTATTCTTAATCAATTAATCCTAATTCTTCTTTAAAACCTCAGCTTTAGTCTCAAGTTTTTAGCTTTTATTACTTTTCTATTTTAGACATTTAATGTATATTTTACTCTTTAATTTTTTAGAGGACCCTCCTGAAAATTACCTGTAGGTGATCGGAGGTCTCCTCTTAGAATATTAATTTATAATTTATTATTTTATTTATATTATTATATGAATGGTCACAACTTAAAATGGGACCACTTTGAGATATTAGCGAAAGGTCTGTCAGATACACATTGCAAGATAAAGGTGACTTTACTAATGAGGGAATTGAAACCTACCCTAAACGATAATGTTAACAGCGAAAAGCTTTATCTTTATTAGTTTGCATCTTCAACCCTCCAAGTTGCGACCATTTTAGTCGCCATGGCGACTAGAATTTTGGAGCTGGCGACTAAATTAGAA